GCATTTTCGCCGTAAAAGGGAGGCGGTGGCGGATTTTCACCGTAATAGGAAGGTGGTGGCGCATTTTCCCTGTAAAATGGAGGCAAGTGTGGTTGTGCCGATGGAGGACTTGTAGTGGTCGAGGAGGGGGGAGCTCATTTTCCCCGTATAGGGAGGCAATGGAGCATTTCCGCTGTAAAAGGGAGGCGGTGGCGGATTTTCACCGTAATAGAAAGGTGGTGGCACATTTTCCCTGTAAAATGGAGGCAAGTGTGGTCGTGCCAGTGGCGGATACTCTTCTTCTCTCATGTGTGATTCCATGGTGTAAAGGAGGGTGCCGGCCGGAGATGGAGATGGGTGTGACGGTGTTGTTTCCCNATTCCATGGTGTGAATGAGGGTGCCGGCCGGAGATGGAGATGGGTGTGGCAGTATTGTTTCACCATTGTGAAGGGAGACGATGGCTTTGGGCGCATTGTGAGTGGGTTAGAGTTTTATTGTTGCTGTAAATGATTTCTTTTCATCAATTTGGACAGTTTGAGCGTACAATTTACTGTTTGGACAGTTTGAACGTATTATTCAATTTTATGGATTTTAGGCCGTACTGTGCCTAATTTCCCCATTGAAGATATAGCCATTATTGGGTCCTACTCATCTAATAAAATTCAACAATAACAACTAATTTTTCAATTTTAATCCGATTTTGTAATCCAATATTGTAGGCGTAGCTCTTCTCTGAAAATAGCAACTGACATGGGTCCAGCTCCATCTGATCCGCAAAACCCTCAATACTCCAAATTCAACATTCTTGCGCCACCCTTTTGCACTTTCAGTTATTTCAACAAAACTTCCTCTTCAACTCTCGTCAATCCCATCACCAAATTGTATTAAGCTTCGCTAGTATTCTGATATTGGACTTTTTCATGTAATCAGACGCTGCTAGCCAATTATCGGCTTCAAAATTCTGGTGTGGAGATGCTGGATCCTTCTATGCGGACTCACTTTTGTTCTATAATCTGCTTGCGCAAACGGAAAAAATAATCCTTTACGTATATGCATCCCCACATACGTATGTGTGTTCTTCTTCTTCTTATTATTATTATTTTTTTACAATTTAAGCTCGACCCATTGTATAATCCTAAGATTAGGACAGGGATTTGTGTAGTTTAGTATACTGTAAGATCAGTGACTTTCTTTTCTACTTTTTATATTATGTTTGGCCTTGTTTTGGTCTTTAGGAGCCAAAGATATTTGTTTGTTTAGAAAAAAACCGATATTTCTAAGTTGGTGAGTGTTATTTTGGAAGAAAAATTAAAAGTGGCGAAAATGAGCTTGAGTGCTGCTGAGGATGATTCAGAATCGGAAATCCATCTTCCGGCGGATATTGATTGGGAGATGCTTGATAAGTCCAAGTTTTTCTTCCTTGGGGCGGCGCTATTTTCCGGTGTTTCAGGCACACTTTACCCTATTGTGGTGTTGAAAACACGGCAGCAAGTGATGTTAAATGGGGTTTCTTGCCTAAAAATGGCAAGCTCAATTTTCAGGAGTGAAGGATTTAGAGGATTCTACAGGGGTTTTGGGACTTCTCTTATGGGAACAATCCCAGCTCGTGCTCTGTACATGGGAGCACTCGAAGTAACCAAGAGTAATGTAGGCAATCTTACTACGGGTCACCTAGGATTGTCCGAAGCCTCAGCATCGGCTGTTGCTAATGCTGCTGCAGGGCTAAGTGCAGCCATGGCTGCGCAATTGGTTTGGACACCGATTGATGTTGTGAGCCAGAGACTGATGGTCCAAGGAGGTGGTTGTAATTCAACGGCAAGTGCTGTTGGCTTACAAAAATACAATGGTGGGATTGATGCTTTTAGAAAGATCATATACGCCGATGGAGTGAGAGGATTGTATAGGGGATTTGGAATATCAATATTGACTTATGCGCCATCTAATGCTGTGTGGTGGGCATCATACTCTGTCGCGCATAGAGTTATTTGGGGCTGTGTTGGCTGTTATTGCTGTAAAAAGGACGCAAATGGCAATGGTGGTTATAGGCCAGACGGAAGGGCGATGGTGGTGGTTCAGGGACTTAGTGCTTCAATGGCTAGTGGTGTATCGGCTTTGGTAACAATGCCACTCGATACAATTAAGACGAGGTTGCAGGTTTTGGACGGGGAAGATATTGCACGTGCTAAGCCACCAACGATTTTACAAATTGGAAGGAACTTGTTTAAGGAAGGTGGATTGGGTGCCTGTTACAGAGGATTAGGTCCTAGATGGGCTTCAATGGCAATGTCTGCAACGACGATGATCACTACTTATGAGTTTCTCAAACGATTATCGACTAAGAATCAAGAAACTTTTGCTTCATGAGTTCTATTAACATTGAGCAAAGGAAGAGTGGAGCAGGTAGAGCAAACATTGTGTATTTCCATACCTTGTACGAGTAGCTTATCTATACTTGTCCTCGTTGGCGTGCTTAATTGTAAAACTTTGTAAATTTGTATAAATGTAGGAATGCTTGTTAACTTTTGGCCTCTGGTTAAATCCGTTGTTACCCTTATATATGTAGATTATATGTTCTTTCAACAATTCAATCTTATATGCAGTCCCAAATGGCATAACAGGATTGCCGGTAATGTACGATCTCATTTAATGTGTAAGTGGGATATTTAATCAGCCATTGTAAGAAATCTGTGCTTGTTTAGTCTGACTGTCGTTTTAAATTCTGATGTCAGCTATCCCAGCCTTGAATTTGTAGATACAACCTATTCTTGGCATCTTTTGAGCGTTTTATGAGAATCTTCAGAAAAAATGATCTGGGTGGCTACATGCTGAAAGGAATACAATTTTCCACGGTTTTGTCTATGGTAATCTGCATCCTGGCACTAAGGTAGGGTGTGGGTCGATCACTACTAGTCGACCACAACGGATTTTTCGCTAATGTAATCGAAGAGGCACAGGCCAGTTGCCCCGAGTTTCTCTCCAGAAACCCATCCTCTGTTCAAGATTACCGGATGCAACTCATCTACACGAAAATGGTCAATCATACATTATCGAATTTGTTCCCGGGCCTTGTACATACAGTTCATCAAAACTAATGGAGCTGGCCAAGCACTGGCCTTAATTCAGTTGAAGAGACAATATTTCCAGTGTTTGTAGAGAGGTCATTGACAGACCTTCCGCGTACACCTGCATGTCCCTAATGCATTTGAGGAGTCAAAAACCTTCGAGTAAATAACTCTTTCAACCCATCTAGAAAAGTAGACGATATTTTTGAAAAGCTCCTTTTTATTAATTTATGTTATCTCATGGATCCGACAGAAATTTAGTCGGAAAATATCATTACAGAATTGGCAAGTGGCCTAACAAATCGAATGCAAATTAGTGGCTTAAGAAGTTGACAGTTTACTTTCCAGAAGGTAATGAAACTGATCTTTCTAGGCAAGTGAATATCAAACCTGCAAGTAGCTCAAAACTATCCAAAATTGGTTTAACCAGGCCTTCATGTCCTTGAGTCTGTGCTTGCTGTTCTCCTATACATTGTTGACACGTAAGAACATCACTTTTTATCAGCCAATGGGGAGGAATAATACTATTCATCAGCAGCAGTGCTGATTATCAGCATTTGATGTGGCAGTGGCATCACTGCCACATTTTTCGATGAATTAAAATATCTCCCAATTTTATAGGAGAATGCAAATATCCCACGTTATATAAACTGTCATTTATAAGTAGTGCTTACAAATAGTATAACTCAACAGGAAGCAATGTGCTCAAAGTGTCAAAAATGTACTGGGGGTTAGCAAGTTTGGAACAGCCACGAGTCTCTTATATAATGTCCAATGAGCAAACATAGAGGTACAATTACTCACCCTCAATTTACATATAAGCATATATGTCCTGCCCCTCTTTCTAGTTTAATCATCAGACAGCCTTCAAGATATTCCTTGTTGCCTTTTTTGGGGGCACCGAATATGAGAGCGAACACTAGAGGAGTTCGATTTTAACCTCGAGCTAGATATTTCATATTTGCAACGCTCAATTTTTAGCAATATTAGAATCTTTTTCATGAGCGAGAGAGAGAAATGGGGTCGGAATAGGACATGATGGACATTTAGAAATTAGATGGGAATGCTTTTTCCCATAAAACACAATAGAATGAATAGGATAGATAAGGCATCAATAGAATACTTGGAAATCACGGAAACAGAACAAGATCATTTATATTCCAAATTGAATCGGAAAGCATAGTCCAATAATTTCACACGAATAACCATTTCAAATTTTCTGTTTATTGCAAACTCTATGGATGAGCTGCCGAAATAACAAAGCCAAGGATGAAGTCCCTGTTATTCAAATTCGAAGATAAGAGTTCTACAAAAGCAGTAAATATAGCCAAGGATGAACTGCCGATTTTCCATCGGAGTGCAAACTCAAGTTGCAGTGCTGATTGGTTCACATTTATCAATAAATAACTGAAGCCTGTCATTGGGTGGTCGGAAAACATCGTGCTTGTTGAGGATGCTTCAGACATCAGAGTTAGCAGGTGAGGCACCCCAACTGCTGCTTTCTGAGTTCTGAATATCAGCGTCTGATATGTCTTCTCTGAACTGTTGTTCAGAGAGGATTTTATGAAAAGTTTGGGGTGAAGGCCTCAATTTTTGTGTATTCTTTGTGTTTAAAAAGCGCCCTCCGGAACTCCTAGCCCTCCTTAATGCATGAAGATGTCGAGACTCGTGAAGATATGGCTACAACAGGGAAAGACAAATCAATCAATAGCACAGAAACATGTAATTTTATGTAGAGAAATAAAATGAAGATCAAAAGTTACAATTACCTTTCTTGATTTGGCCAGCTTATTCTGAGCCTCAAGCTTGGCTCGGATTTGTCGACGTCTAAGGATGGCATGGTGTTGTTTTGCATTGACATAAATGGGCATGCCTTCTGTACAATCAAGAGGAAGAGCAACTCTTGCAGATGTGATCCCCTCCATGGGAGGATATAGCTGATAAAATTCCAAATACTTCCAATTAAACTTCATGGTGAGATATGCAATATGTCTCATAAGAGGAAAGAACTTTTTAGACAGTCAGTACTTACAACAGCATTTGGGCTATAAGCAACCACGAGCTGGCCGAAGTAAGATTCAGACAAAGGAAAGGATATGTGAGCCTGCAAGAAAATAATGTTGGATGAAACTTTTACTGAGAATCAGCTTTCTTTCTCATGAAAGGTACAATGTTCGATACGAATGGTGACAGGTCAGAAGCTAACCATTGACTGATTTTGATCCGATTGAACTTGATGAGCGATGTGATCTGCATTTCCATACAGAAGAGATGGATTGATGAAGCCCTCCCCTTTCATCTTGTGAGGTTCATGGTAATCTAGGTGCAAGAACGTGCAAGATAACAAAGGGTAAGCCATAGAGAATCATACATCTGTACTGTGCAAAGCTCAATATTTAAGATAAGAGACTTTCCATGTTCTAGCATGATACGAGTATTTCTGAGTTGGTGGAGCCAGTGCATGGTAATTGAAAACAACACGACACGGGGAGTGGCGTGCCATATCAAGAACATACATATATCAAAGGAAGATGTTAGATTAATGGCATAACTTTTGAGGCCTCTAACCTTTACTACAAACACAAGGAAGCATGTTGTAATAGCAAATTTCATTCCTAGAAACAAAAAACTGGGGAAAAAAATGAAGGATAACACTAATTTTCCTCCATAACATGGGGGTGGATATGGATGTATCAGCATTCTTTGCAGTTTAAAGGATCCACACAGGACGAAGGTTGTGCAAGGCACAATAGTTTCCATTTTGTAAACCCATAAAATCCAAAAAAGGGGGTCGTAATAAATAATAAATTCACTTTTTCCTTTCTCTTCATAGATAAACCGTAAACTGGGATACAGCGTCAATTTTATCACAAGCATTACCTGCCTGACATGCAATATTTTGCATGTAAGACTTGGCTCTTTCCACAGCAGAAGCTTCATAATGAGATTGACCAATAGACAGAGTTGAGAAGGAATCCTGTTTATGGGACTGAGACACAGACTTCTTCACATCAAAATAATATTCATCTGCAGATTCCATCTCCTTGTAAAGCATATACTGTTGCTGTCTGGTGGAGCGACACAGAGATGAGCAACTGCCAAAAGAAGTCGCCAGTGAATCTGCGGTTGTTTGATCTTGGTCTTTAATGGATAAGTTTATCAACAAATTGGAGAGTTTTTCCTGATTAGAAAATTGCCCAACTGAATAACAATTGAAGAGCACAAGTAGTCTATCGAATAACTATAAAATTCACTGCACTTAACTCATTAAGGCACGCAGAAAGAGGCGAAAATATAAAATAGGAAAGAGTGGAAATCCTAAATCAAGGAATCTTGTAAATCATTGTTTGGAAAAACAACGCCATTCAACAAGCACGGCAAATCCATAGTTTCCAGTATAACAAATGGAGCAATTAATTAAGGTAAAATTTCGTCCAGTTACAGTCCCAATATTCAACTGTGTGCCCATTTCTCTCCATATTGGATGATCACTAGGCATTACGGCTACTGCCATAGTATAACCTGAGGCGACAGCCCGAAGGCTCAACGGTGGCCTAACATCTCACCCAAGGTTATTGAAACTTATCCATCTCAATCAGGATATACTCTTACTTTAATTATTCATATTCCTAAATCTCTTCCTCCACGTTTGTTACACACCATTGGAATGATGGGCAATGAACAAAATTTGGCTTATTTCTAATTTAATAGGGTACAGGACTACCCAATCCTTCCTACCTAACATGTCATTAATGTGTCCAGCAGAGATATTGCAATCAAAATTGGAACATACAATACTTGTACTGCTGTAACCTGATCAAAATCGAACTTCGGCAGATTGATCAGAAGCAGCCAAAAAAAAAAAAACACTTGTGTATGGATATCCAATGCAGTATATATTGCATTGTGTGTGTGTGTGTGTGTGTATATATATATATATATATATATATAGAGAGAGAGAGAGAGAGAGAGAGACCTGTAGAGGAGGAATGGTGCTGCTAAGAGAGAGGGGCATCTCCTTTGTTCTTGAACAAAAGCCATGCCTCTAATCCTTTAACTTAATGAAATAATAGTAAAAATAATGAACCGTCAACACCACCCAATAAACTTTATATGTCCATCTCCACCACCACCACCTTCTTTTGTTCTCTTTTGGGTTTATATTGAATAAAGAAATCTTGTTTTGGATAAATTTCCTCAGATCCCACTAATAATTAGGATTAGGAGAAGTTGAAAGACTTAAAAACCCTCTTGAACTGAACCCACAAAAGATTAAGAAGAATTATTCAAGATTATCAAGTATTATTGCCTTATGATGTCCCCTCTCTATCTTCTTATTTTTATGTGTAAAAAACAGTTGACAGAAAGGGTTGCACTAAGCGACCTACCTCTCCCTAAACAAAAGACTTTATTCTGTGTACAATATGAAATGGACAAAAAATTAAGAAATGAGAAACAAAAATACAAATTAGTTGCTTTTAATAGGCTATGATCTGTCAGCTTTTAAGGAGGAAATATACTATAAAAAATTAGTGAAATTGACATCTTCTATAAAAGATCTGGTAAAGAAGACTTATCCACTGCCCTTTAAACTTTATTTTGCCTTTTCTTTTCAAAACTCAATAGGATTAAACAACTATGAATTAGCTAAACACTTAGTTTCAGCTTCAAAAGAACTAAAAGAAGGGAAACCTCATCGATTTTTAAAGCATTTGTAAAGCAAAACGATTTCTATTATTGCATCACATCACTTTCGTTTGTATTATAACACAAGATTCTCTTGTACAACATCATCATTATTCAATAACTATTGAAAATGAATTAAATTAAACAAAGTTGATAATTGTTTTAACTTGATCTTATCAAGTAGAAAAAAATCTTGTTCCTATATCATCTTTAATTATTCTCCATCATCTCTGCTGGATCTAACATGGTAAACGTTAAATTTAATTAGATGGTCATTGGTGGCCTTAAATTTACATTATTGAAGCTTTTTGAATCAGAAAATGCTCTACTGATTGCACCAACGTCGATAAAATTATGGTTTATTTGTCACGCCATTGAAGTTTAATGGAGTAATTAACATGATCATCAAACTGTTCTGTTAGCTTCACGACATCATTTGACGTTAATATCAGATATTAATGACTTAAATCTTTTTTTCTAAAGCTTAATTAAGGGTTTATCACCAGTTATAATGTTCATGCCATTTCATGCTGGTTCATGCAACATGGGTGTTGGAGGAAAGAGAGGTTTACC